ATAAATAATATTATTATTGGCTCAGCGGCCTAGTAAATGTCCGCACTTACGTTATTTGCAGCTTCCATCGTGACTTGAATAACAGCTAGTTAGTTTATCAGTGTATATATTTTTTATTTGAGAGATCCCGACAGTGGGCGGAACTTGTTGTAAAGTTAGTGATAACAAGGCCCACCCATTTAGAGGAAAGATATGATTGGTCAATTTTTCTGTCAGTTGAAATTACTCTCCCATTGATTTACTATTGCTTGGCCCTCTCTAATTTCATAGCTGGACCACCAATCACAGAGCCGCAAACGCTAGGCGGAAACATTCAAATGTGGAGAAAATGGGGTGTGTTTATAAGACCATTCACTGAATATGCAGATTTGAAGAGGTTGTTTTTTTTCCCACAGAAGTTGTATTTATTTTATTTAGATTATGTTTGTCAAATTATGAATTGCTTAAATAAAATTAGTAATAATAATTTTTTTATTCAAAATATTATATTTTTAAATATTTATTACATTTTTTAAAATATTGTTTATGTAACAATAATAACAATATTTAGAATCGATATATTGTCCCACCCCTAGAGCGCCTAGGCCTGGGCGATAAAACGGTATCGATATTTATTGATGGTACTCCTTCATATTCCGATATAAAAATTTTTTGATATAGTGCACGATATAGGCACGTGCTAAGAGTGACCTAGACTGCACATACAAACACGAACACATGCTGAATTAAGTGCAGTGCCTGCCTGTGATGAGGAGATTGTGAATAAAAAAAATTAATATAAGTCGAGTTTAAAATAAACATTTGCATTTGAATGTTAGGTGTGTGTCAGGGAGCGTCATCAGTGGCGCACGAGATGCGGTGATAATGATGTAAGTGATGTTGTTGCATTTTAATGTTTTGATAGTCTAGCCCACGAGATGCGCCGCTGCTGTGTTATGCATTCAAAATATTAGAGAAATATAGAAGCTCAATGCGGAGAAGATCTTGATTAGGTGAAAACCGAAACCAAACCATTCACACAGAACGCATATTCAGTGCATTTTTAGACGGACAAATATGACTGCTGCAGTCACGTCACACAAGATGTAGCCATGCAAAGTTAAAACAGTTTAAACTTTTAGAAAACACGTTGCAAATTTGTGGAGGTTTATTTCTTTTCACAGCGTCTCTTATGTTTTTAAATGCAATCTGCGTGATGGTCGATTCGGCTCTTTGTATTAAGCAATTCATGAATACATGATGCTTGTTCATAATTGTTTATGCAATTTACGAAATTATATTTGATTTCTATTAGTTAATTTAGACGTAATGCAGGTTTTTTTATAGACATTTATTTCCTTGCGTTGACAATTTAAATGTGCTGCATTATTTTGCTCATTGCACCCTCCTGTGGCCTCGGGAGACAAGCCAAAAGTTTCCTTAAGACCTATTTAATCTGCACATAAAACATTAGAAATTAGTTTGACTGTTAATATTTAGTATTGATATATATAGTTTGACTGTTACAATAAATTGGGTTAATTTAAAAATACAGTGGTTAAATAAAAAAAAAAAATTCTATTGCTCTTTGTTTTAAAAAAGGTTATAACAAATGTCAATAAATATCGATACCGAATGATATGAAACATTATATCGTTGATACGCTGATCGTTGCGCCACATTATTTCTTCTGCGCATAGAAGAAGTGCGCGACAGCTTAGAGGGAACATTGTCTACATCCCTACCAAAATACCTAAACTTACAACCTATTACAACCTTACAAACTATTAATATGCAGCAAATTAAGATTTTATTGAGGCAAATTCACAGTTAATGATTTGTTAATAGCGAGAATTAAACCATAAGATAAAATGTGACCATGCTTTCTTAATATTCTGTGCAATTAATGCACATGTAAAAGTCACTGACACAAAATTATTTCACTCGTATCTGTCCTTTCACGCATATTCATTGAGAATGAGTTGAATTATGAAAGAGATACAGAGGGTAGAGAACAGGTGCATTGTGGCCCTCAGACCAACCAGGTGGAGAGAAAGCTCATGTTTATGAGATCACAGGTTTTATGCTGTACTCTCAAACATTATGCAAATAATCCCGCAGTCCTAGCAGTAATGACACGATGGAAAAGCATGAATTACAGAATAAAGGACACGCTCGGTCACACACCGTTCCTCACTGACTCTGTCCATGTAGACACTGGGGGTGCGTGTGAGAACAGCTATGAGGCAAATGTTGACACTGATTTGTAATTGATCTAAACAGAAAAATGAGCGGAAAACCTGAAAGAAGATCTTTGTAGGCTCGCAGTGCATTCTGAGCCATTCGTATGTGCTCATTATATCCAAATGTTCTACTCACACTCATGTGATGCTCCATTTCAGGCAATAAGAAGAGTGCTAAATAATTCACGAGATGCTGGGATCAAACGTCTGCTTCTGCTTGTGTTCTTCTGAATGCAGAAGGGTGTGTGTTGGTGTTGGTGGGTTAGAATTTGGGGTACTGGGATATCAGTCTTTTGGTGATGTTCAGTATGTACTGTATTTTGATGTATTTGGTCTAAAATGAATGTTTGTTTGTTTGTTTATTTGTTTCTCAGAGACTGAACATCCATTATAACCATTTAGTTTAGAACTTAAAGGTCGCCTGAAATGCTTAGAAACACGCAGCGTTACTCTGTGTTGATGTCATTTTAACTGAAACAGGAAGGCAGGGCGGGACATATCAAGCAACCCGCCCCTCTTTAAAATAGCCAATAGCGTTCGTTTATATCACAGCTTGGGCTAGAGCCGTTGAGCTCCGTGAAGCTGCATTTGACAGGGTATGCCAGCCACAATCTCATCCATATTGCTATAAAATATAGCATTCTGTGTAGAATTCAAATAGCTCCGATACATTTTGTGGTCTGCGCCGACTCGCGCATGTGATCCGCTCCGTGCTATCGTGTCTCTGGACCGGAGCAGAGTGTGTGTGCGGTGCGGTGGTTAGCGTGACACAGCGCCAAACCAGACTTCTTTTTTTCCTCAATGGAAAGCATATTTACACTGTTTGAATCGTTCCCTGTCCCCTATATAGTGCACTACGTGCCATTCACTGTACAGAGAATACTAATTCTGTGGACAAGTGACCGATTTCAACCGTGGCTTCAGAGTCTATTTTATAGTGTAGGGGGAGGGTGCTTCAGATTCTAGAGAGCATTTGATTGGACAGAAAGTTTGATGAGAAGCTGAAGTACGATGTGACGTCAAAAAAAATCGTTAAGCCGTTTTGGCGGAAGTGACGAACTGCAAGCTTTGAATGCTTATATCTTCTAAATGCGAATTTTGTCACTGTTTTGGAGCACACTGCCTTATAGATAACCTTAAGACTAACATATTGATACTAACACACAAAAAACTTTCATTTTGATTTCATGGGGACTTTAAAAAAACACTTTTTATTATTTGAAAAATGTCAGAAATGTGTTTTTTTTTCTAGAGAATTTACAGTTTGTTGTTTTTTTTGACAATAATGACACAAACATATTTTTGAATCAGAGTTTTGGATTGAAATTGATTCAAACTGCTTTGGAAAGACACGAGGGCAAGTAAATGACTAAAGTATTTTCATTTTTGAGTGAACTATACCTTTAATGATTTCATATGTGTGTTAGTGAGAAAATAAATGTTTGATTAACCGATTGATTGATTGAGAAGTCTCTTATGCTCCCCAAGTCTTCATTTATTTGATCAAAATTACAGTAAAACAGTAATATTGTGAACTAGATTTTACCATAGACCATTTTTACCATATCCATAGACTTTCGTAAAACACACACACACACACACACACACACACACACACACACACACACACACACACACACACACTCACACACACCACTGCACAGAAAATCAATGTTTCTGCTCATTGGTATATTGGGTTGGGTCAGTGTGTCATGATTTTCTCCTCTGGCCTGTGGTCATCAGATTAGCTCCAGACGTCTAATAAAATTGAGTGATAATTTGACACGGTCATTGTGATGTGGGTTAGTGCGCTCACCGGATTAATCTCTGTGGAATTGGCAGGGAATTCCCTACGGATCAGCAGATTTCCCAGTCAATCTCTCTCTGACGGATGTGATGTTTTCATTTGGGGCTTCTTATTGCCTTTGAATTTACTCAGGCGTTATGCTTACATTTCCATCAGAAGCTAAAATAAAGCCATTCATGCGTGCTCTCTACACACACACACACACACACACACACACACACACACACACACACACACAGGACTGTGTGTGAGAGTGTGAGAGAGTCTATTAGACAGATTCCTGTTTATTCAGTGGGAATCACTGAACAGCGAGAGGTCAGAGGTCAGACTGGGTTACACAGTCACATAGATTTAACCTTCACCTCTCTTTCCTCCATATGTGATACTGTTCTCTGTGTGATCTGTGTCTTTATGTGTGTGTGTGTCTGCTTTGGCACACATTGAAGTAGCCAGTGTGTGTTTATTCATGAACATTTTACTGCCATTTATTCATATTTCCATTCTTCTGTGAAACATGCAAGGAGATGCTAGATTCTCTGAGCTGTTCTTGTTCATACTGTTAAAGTTGATGGTGATATTTAATATCGAATTCCAAAAATGACTAAAAGACTAGTTTAAATACCATGCATGCCAAGTCTTCAGTCTGAAGCCAAAGACCTTTTGGTCTTTAGAGAACATTTATTGCATCATTCATTCAAACAATGAGACTCTTTGTGAAATGGCTAACCAGCTATTCAGATCCATCGAAACCTTGGTGAAATCTGTGTGTAATGGCGAAGATAGTGTGCTGACTGGTTGTTGAGTTAATTGCCACCTTCGGTACAGTGGAAATAGTGGTCTTGTCTGAGACCACGAGATCAAGACTCTGATAATTATGGGTTCTGTGAGCATTTACCTCTCAGATTACTCCATTAAAGAGATTACATTTTCCCAATCTAAGTGAATTCTCTTTCTTCCTGTCGATTCTCCAGATCTGGATAAGCCTGTGCTCACAGTGCACCAGACGGTGGGTGATGTACGAGGCAACTACTATCAGGAGAAAACAGTGTTTTTACGCTGTACGGTAAACTCCAACCCTCCTGCTCGCTTTATCTGGAAACGAGGAAATAAACCAATCGAACAGAGCAAAGACAACGGAGTGGATATCTACGAGCCTCTGTACACACAGGTACAACATTATCATGACTTCTGTTGTTGTTGACCTGTTGTTGTTTCATTTCATTTTTTTTTTTGGGGGGGGGGGTGTCTCTGGGTGTGCCGAAAGGGAGTTTAAGTTCCAAGTTTAAGTTATGTTTTAGCAAACTTTTGGAAGTTTTGTCCCCAAACTGAAGTAAATCCCAAACCTCTCTTAAGGCGGGCGTACACGGTGCGATTTTTGCTGTCTCGTACGAGCTCGCAGGTGATTTTTTTCTCTCGGGAGAAAATCGCAGATGCTCGCATGGTTGCGGCTTGTACCGTGTGGGAACAATTACGGGCCGATCCGAGACGTAACGAGCACGTCCTGTCATCCCGATAATTTTCAACGTCAAAAAAAATCGGATGCTTTCGGTTTAAATTCGTGGCATATGTGCGGTTGAACGAGACGATTTGGCGATCCATCTGAAGTTGACCAATCAGAAGATGACAAAAACCATATAGTCTATAATAATTTTAGTTTGATTATACAGTTCTATTTTTTATTTGTTATTCCGAATGTGCCAAATTTGCTGTTCAGCTTAATAATTGAATATGCCTGTTGTATTTCCGGCAAAATGGGCAGAAATTCAGAAATGGCCTACTCCCTCGAGTTCTTTATGAAGAACAGAAAGTCCATGCTTTTCTCTGCTTTTCAGCCATTCTCTTTGCCATGTCCTTTGTCTTCGGGGTTTTTTTTTTTTTGGACGGCACAAGTCGCCTGCCACAAAGAAAACTATTTCGTCCTCAGAATCCATATTTTTATGAATGGCGCGAAACATAATGCTTACGTCAGAGTTTGTGAAATCATAGTAAATTCGTGTCGTGTGTGACTGCTTCCGTACGATTTTCGGATTAAACTCAATCGGGACATGTACCAAAGCTCACGACGTTCCGACCTTCAGAATCGCACTGTGTACACCCGCCTTTACCCACAGCTGGACAATATGCATGATTTCTCTATAGGCCTTATTTCCCCGAAAACAGAAAATAGTTTAATTAGAGTTAATAATCATTTGAATAGCAGATAACCACAGGAGACGCGCTCAATCACAGAGAAACGTACTCAATAAATCAGCGATCCATCAGTGATGAATTCATAATCTGAGCACTTATTATTAAAGAGCCATTTGAATAAGGTGGGATGGATGGAGATTGATGGCTTTGCTATTAATAATGAGGATTATTCATTCTCCTGATGGACGCAGTCAAAAGAATGAGATGAATATAAAATTCCTGAATTCATTCTCTCTTTATCATGCACACAAATTGACATTGAAAAATGACATAAAGTCAGCTACTTTATATTGCAACCTTTATGAGTGTTTTTTTGTAGTATTTCGTAGTTTGCACTTCTGTTACACTCTGTGATGCCCCAGGTGGGAAAATGTGTTTTCATATTTTAAATACGAATTACTCAATAGTAGTCAAATTATACAAAAAGAAAAATTCTAAAAGCACAGATGACACTGTTTCCGGAGGATGACCGACAAACAACATTTTGTTGTCATTATGTATAAATGCCTGTTTTGACTAACAGATGTGTGAATGTGTGTGTGTTTGCAGGGTGAGACAAAGGTGCTGAAACTGAAAAACCTCCGTCCACAGGACTTTGCTAATTACACCTGTCAGGTGTCCGTCCGGAACGTGTGTGATATTCCAGACAGCTCTGTCACCTTTCGCCTTGCCAACACCACTAGTGAGTTCCCGTTTACGCTCAAACGCTCACATTCACTCTCTTTCCCTCATTATACAGCAGCTGTAGTGAGTTTTGCATATGAATTTTGTGCTTTATTTTATTTTGCTCATTTTATTACAGGGAAAAATGAACTGCGTATGGAATTTTGTTTCTGCCGTTAGTTTTACAGAAACTGTAGGAGTACCTGTCTTTCCTCCTTCAGTTCTTTTGATTATTTTTCTTCTCAAATGTTCCTTTTCCCCTGGATATGTGTTGACCTGTCAGGTTTAATTCACCTTTCTTTGATTACATCTTCACTTTTCCCTCTTTTAATCTTGCGTTCTTTCTCTCATTCACGGTCTGTCAGCGCTGTGGAGATGTTCAGCGCAGAATAACACAGGAACAGTCACGTGTGTCTTTGATCATGTTGGTCTGTGCACTGGTTTGTGTCTCAGGTCTCTCTGAAGGCAGACGCCACTATCACTGTGCTGTCCTGTACTGAAATTCCTCCAGGGAATCAGTGAACTGAGAGTATGTGGTATTTTTCATTGTTAGAATAGATTTATCAGAGCTGTGGCCTAGTGGTTAGCACACATTGAGCTGTGGTGCACATATGGGGGGATGTGAGATGTCCAGAACCTGTCCAGATCTCATTCCCTCCTCTTCTCGCTATCATTTTCCTGTTTTCTATTTCACTTTGAATTAAAAAAAAGTGCAATAATGGAATTTGAATGGGAAAAGATACAAAGAATATAAAGGGGACTGATATAAATAGGGTTATATAAAATAAAAGTCATAAAGGGTAGATCAGACTATATGCTTTTTGTTCCAGTGAATATTTATCAGGGTTAATTTATTGTATACAAGTCAATATACTCTGACAACGGGGACAAGTTGTCAAAACTGGAGCTTTTAAAAAACAGTATTTAAAATGTATAATCAATTTTACAGCTTTATTCAATATTATATAAACTACTGTTCAAATATTTGGAGTTTGTAAGACTTTTGAAATGTTTTTGAAAGAAGTCTTTTATGCTGCGAGTTGTGTGTGTTTAGAAGCTGCATTTATTTGATCAAAAAGACAGTAAAAACAGTAATAGTGTAAAATATCATTACAATTTAAAATAACTGTTTTCACTTTTGATATATTTTGAAATGTAATTTATTCCTGTGATGCAAAGCTGAATTTTCAGCATCATTACTCCAGTCTTCAATGTCACATGATCCTTCAGAAATCATTCTAATATGCTGATTTGCTGCTCAGGAAACATGAAAAGAGGAAACATGTGGAAACCGCGATATATATTTTTTTCAGGATTCCTGAATGAATAAGATCAACATTTATTTACAATCGATTTTTTTGTCAACATTATAAATGTCTCTACTGTCACTTTTTTGATCAACCTAATACATCCTAAAATATTAATGTCTTTCAAGAAAAAAAATCCTTTCAATGATTCTTTTGTCAACTTTCCCCTGTGACAACTAGCCCCAGTCTCTCTTATATATATGCTTTTTCACATGCTGTCAAGAGGTTTCATAAGGTATCTTTAGTAGATGGTATTTCACGCTGAAGTTCTATGAAAGCTTTATCCTTGTTAACTAACATTTTCATCATCGTCAGAATACATTGTTTGTGTAATCCATAATGAATCGAATTCACAGCAAAATCAAAAATACGCCTGTGACTGGAAAATCATTGCTAGAACAAAAAAAAAATGCTACTACAATACCCAGTGAAACCCTTTATGAATTAGTCATGTAAAAAAACATGTTTGTTCGTGTTCAAATTAGCAGCATTAAGAATTCATGCTCGAGAAATAAGTTCAAAGCTCGCTGAGAAATTCTAAAAGTAGCCCAAAAGTTCCCCCCTCTCTGTGTGCGTCTTTATTTCCCTCGTTTCTCGTTCTCTCTCTTGTGATGAGTTGGAAAGGCTGTTGATTCTCCTCTTTCTGCTCTCTCCACTAGAAAGGCAGCTGTGAAATAGTCAATAGAGATGAGTGAGTCTGGAGTGACAATATCAGAAGTCTGTACCTCTCGCACAAACACACACACACACACACACACGCTCCGCGGCGCCACTGTAGTGTCCTGCCCTGTGGAGAAACAACACACTGCTGCAAATTGGAATTTGTTTTCCGCGTGGCTCGCGAACACGCAGCTCATCGCCGAAAGAACAAAACACTGATTAGTTTTTCTGTTGATTTTTGTTTTCTTTCCTCTGAACTGACGAGTAGGAACGGGGTGAGATGAAGTTGGAGAGAGCAGAAGAAACACGCGTCGGACGTCGTGCTGAAGTTTGAGAAGTTGGCTTCTTTAGAGGGTAGAATGAAGGAGACTGCGTCTGTGCACAGGATTCGAAGCGCTGTTTTAAATTACGGGTCGATCGTGACGTGTAACTCCAAACCTAGTTGGTCAGCATCTGCTTGTGTGAAGGTCAGAGCTCAGATCAGAGAGAAAGACCGGCTTTAACACTTTGTACACTATGGTGTTTAGTTTATGATGTTATATCCAAACAATCATGGCTGAACGTCCGTTTTTCTTTATTCTATAGGGTTTTCCTCTTATACACTACCATTCGAAAGTTTGGGGTCAGTAAGAAATGAATACTTTTGTTCAATAAGGACTCATTAAATCGATCAAAAGTATTGTAGTATAGTATAATATTATAAAAGTATAATATTAAGCAGCACAACTGTATCAAATCAGCATATTAGAATGATTTCTGAAGGATCATGTGACACTGTAGACTGGAGTAATGATGCTGAGAATTCAGCTTTGCATCACAGGAATAAATTACATTTTACAATATATTCCAATAGCAAACTGTTGTTTTAAATTGAAATAATATTTCATAATATTACAGTTTTTACTGTATTGTTACTTTCAAATAAATGCCGCTTCAGTGAGCATAAGAGACTTTCAAAACATTTAAAAAATCTTACTGATCTCAAATTTTGAGTGGTAGTATATCATTCTGGTATCTATTTATAACATTAATTTAACATCCATACGTTTATATTATATCGTATTGAAAGATTTATTAAGAAATGTTAAGTCAAAAAAGGAATAATAAGTGTCAAATATATTCATTATATTCTTGTTATATTTTTCCTTTTTGATTTAATATTTCATGTTTCAGATTCAGATGATTGTCTGTTGAATCAGAATTTTTCAGTGAAACAAAAATTGATGCCTAGCTGTCATTTTGAAGATTTTTGCATTCTTAAATTAATTTTATATAAAAATGTCTCAAGATACGGCGTATTATTTAATGAGATGTACAAACTGATATTTCTTTCAGTTTGTTCATCACACTGGAAATTGAAGGTCAAATCGAGCATGGGATACACTATCCCATGCACTTTCCTCTGTTGTGTACTTCACATTTTAGCAAATGCAGTAGGCCATCATTATTCTGTGTATACAAAAGTTTGCGAACTCTGCAAAGTGTGCATACTACATAGTGCAAGTACTAGTTTGTGATGTTATGATTAAATGGTAAAATCACTGCAACACACAATTTCAACTGGCTTGTTGCTTTAATAGAAATCCGAGGAGACTCAAAAGGAGTCTGTTTGCACTTGGTTCACTAGTATAAAAAATGTATCATATGCCATATTTATTTAAATCAAAGGCAATTTAATGACCTTTATCATCACTGATTACATTTTAAAAACCTTTGGGATTTCAGCTCTATGCATGTATCAGAAGATAAAAACAAATGCACATACTATACTTTTGTTAATACGTCAGTGTTTTGTGTTTAATTATATGTTTATGCACTGCATCGTTCATGTAGACGTACAGGCACCATCTGTACAGATCGTTCAAGAGGAAACAACTGATGTGACTCAATCTCGCTCAAATGAAGCTTTAATTGGATAATTGTATGGCTGGGATTGAAAGAGCTGTTGAAGATCGGGAAGAGAGAGAGATTGTCATTATTCAGAGAAAAGAGCCAACCTGGTGGAACATTTTTCTCTTTCAAACAGCACCCAGCCCCCCCGCCCCCTTTAACGCTTTCATATTTTCCTCTTAGCTGAATCTCACTACAGTGGCATATGATGACCTGTCAGTTTGAATGCTTTAGGAGCGTCAAAGTAAAGGAGCGGTAGAAATTAGGAGAGGGTCTATAGACAGAGTTTGAGGCATCATGCTGAAGCCCCGCTCACACTGGTAAATAAGATGTCATTCTGTTTTTGACAAGGAATTTATTTTCTTGCTACCTAAAAATGTATATTTGGGAGGGGGAAGTGTTGAGCGAATATAAACTGCAGCAGTGCATAAAGCATCATATCGTGAATAAGATGAACTATACAGACTCGCTCAGAATAGTGGCAGTTTCTGGTCTGGATTGATTGATTGAAGTTATTATATCCCAGCATGTGGGAATAGACAAAAAGAAGAGTGAAACCATACGTAGTAAAACTAAATATTCTTGCTAAAAATTATATTTTTGATATTTGAATATAGTATCTTATAGGATTATGTAGTTTCCTATTGATCCCATTGATAGAAACTGCCATTTACTGTGGCTCATGTCACCTGGCAAAATGTCATTTTGACATTATTTTCATGATAATTTAGCATATTTCCACGTAATTCTCGACCTTAATACAAAACAAACAAAGAAAAAATACTTTTTCATTTATAATAATTAGTATTTAGACATTTCATTACTGCACACACATACACACACACACACACACACACACGCATGTACGCACACACGCACACGCACGCACGCACACACACACACACACAATTAAGCCACAATTCACACAATTAATACAATTTCATTAATTCACTGGATTATACCCCAAAAATATGGTGTTAAAAAACATATACATGTATATCACTATGTGTGTGTATGCGTGAGCAGGTTGGACACAGATTGGAGAGTTATAGAGTTGCTTTTTATTTAGCTTCTGATTTGAAGTAGTTAATAATCTGCATTTAGTTAGACAAGGATGTTCTTGTGATATTTGTCTGTAGTTGGTTGAGGGCTGGAGAGATCA